AGCTTTTTATATCTTTGTATTCTTTGACTCTTTTGACTGTCACACATGCGGATACATATATTCAACTCACTCATAATTGTTGACGTGCAGCAACGAAGCACAGGTCTAAACACCTGTTTAGAACCCTACGCACTTTGCAAAATAAATGCGCTAGTTTAGTACGTACATGTTCTCAGCATTGCATGCCAAAGCAGATGATCCTTTGAGTTCTAGTCTTGGGTGGGTTGGCCTGATAGGATGAAAAGTCTTGAAGGGATAAGATATATGACTCCGTAAGGGACGTGTCGACTCTATGCGGCCTACCCCAAGACTTGGTCTGAACAAATGAAGAATACACGGTATTTACGTGATTCCTGCCTGTGATAGTAGTTGTGGGAAAAAGATTGAATACATAGCCAATCAATATCGTGGCGTCGTACCCGTTGACGTCTGACTATGCACAGGCTAAACCTGACCTTGAATACATTACTCAGGAATAGAAGTAAACGCTACTTTGTGGTGTAATGCTGCGGGTACCTTAGAACAATTTGAAGATGTTGGAATATAAATATGAGAAAAAGAATTTGCAAAAACCCAGGCGCCAACCAACCTATCTTGTAGCAAAGCGTGGGCCCTCACAACAGTTCCCTCCCTAAACATATCCCTAATCCTTTAAAAAGTGGGTTTTCAAAAGCAACCTGCTCTCTATCCTTAATGTGGAGGCCTAAAAAAATAGACCCCCCCCCCTCCCCCCCCTATAATCTGGGATCCGTGACCCCCCGGGCCAAAGTTCCGTAGATGGGGGGCTCTTGGGTTGGCTTGGGGTCTGGATGGCTGTGACCTTGTTAGACGGGAATTGGGGGATCCCAGATTTTGTGGGCTGGCTTGGGTGGAGGGTCTGCGGTTCTCCGCGGATGCCCGGGTCGGGTTCGGGATAACCAAAAGCTCCAAACCAAGCCCCGATCATTCCAAGATAACTACCACCACTAAATCGTTTCATTTTGAAGACTTTTCCCTCCAGCCTACAGTCCCTTTCGCAATCGACGAAATCTGAGGCCGGGTGCTGTACAGTAGAAGTACAGTAGTTGTACAGTACTATAGTGCAGTAGTACAGTAGTAGTACAATAGCATTACAGTAGTACTACAGTAGTACAGCAGTACATTAGTTGTACAGTAGTTGTACAGTAGTAGTACAGTAGTAGTACAGCACGAAGGTTTAGGGTTACCTGGAGCTGTGTAGCGGGTTTTGGGGATGACCGAAAGCTCGAAACCAAGCCCCGATCACTCCAAGATAATAGTTGCCACCACTAAAATCCTTTGAAGACTTTTCACTCGAGCCTACACTCCCCTCCACAATCGACAAAGTCTGAGGCCTGGTACTGTGCAGTAATACAGAAGTAGTACAATAAGAGTATGCTAGTACAGCAGTAGCAGTACAGTAGTAGTGCAGTAGTACAGTAGTAGTACAGTAATAGTACAGTACGGTTAGGGTTTGAGGGTTTAGGCAGTTTAGGCTTAAGGGCGGTTTCGGTTTAGGGAGAGTTTCGGGCTTCAGGGCCAGGGTTTTAGGGTTTGGAGGTGGGTTTAAGCTTTAGGGTTCTGGGGGTCTGATTTTCAGGCTTAATATAGGGAGGTTGAGATGAGGCTCAAGGGGGATTTAGGCTTTAGGCTTCAGGGCCAGGGCTGTAGGGCTTGGACGGGGTTTTCAGGTCGTGGCTGCTTTCAGATTGACCATTACTCGCAGGGACGCAACACACCAAAAAAATTGCCAGGCCCAAAAAAAAGGCATTTATTAGGCCGCCTTTTTTTGGTCCCCTTTTGAATAAGCAACAAAATGCATTAAAGAGGCCCATTGTATTGAATAGGCCGGCGCATTACCAGATCTGACCAGAGATCTTCTCGGTTTGATTTACAATACCTCCACATCCCTGGGGCCCTCTGGTTCATAATGGTCACAGAAACTGGACCCTTTAGCCATGAGGCAGCGGCGGTTTTGTAGACGCAGGAAAAACAGATACACGGACACATGTGGACTATCGCACAGAAGTAACCTGTAGCGTACATAGACAACTCATTTGTTTATGACAAAGGCCCGGTGTTTATGAGAAGCACATATGTTTCCCATTAGCAGCAACACGGTAATTAAATACCAGTGATTTCACAACGTCCTCAAGTAAGGTCTCGGTTTGAACCGTATCTCAGCCAGAGATGTGAAGAAAGTCCAACGTGGCGCTGTGCACGGTAAGGTTTGTCAATTTGTTGGTTGGTGTCACAGGCGACACGGGCTGCACATCCTGGCGATGGGGGTGGTGGTGGTGGTGATGAGGGAAGGGTCTTGGAGCATAACACAAAGAGTGCCGGCCTTTTAAAGCGCATGGACTTACGGAATGCGTGTTTGAGAATAAACGCGCCGGCTAGTTCAGAGTTGGAGCTGGAAATACAAACAGACATAATGTCAGCCCCTGATAAATAAAGTTCCCCTCAAAAGAGCTAAGCACGGCCCTGCACACAATAGTGGAAAGCCCCCTCAATAAAGCTAAACTCGGTCTGCACTCCCCCCCTCAATACTCGTAAATTCCCGTCCGGCCTTTTTTTGTTTTATGGTTTTGGCTCAAGGTCTGGCTACGAGGCCCTAGTGGGCGTATGCATGCAAGTCTTTTCCAAATTCGGGCCTACAGCCATGGACAAGAAACTGGTTGCCTGCATCGGGTACTCCATACGGGTGGCCAACAAGATAAGTGGTGCACCAAGTGTGGTTGAGAGCCTGCATGCCGCAATGTTCTGGTTGGTTCAGTCCCCTACGACATGTGGGCAGGAGACAGCTGCTGAGAGTACATGCACAGGACAGAGAGTGCTTTCTCTTTACAAAGCTCTTTACGGAAGCGTGAAAGGTCAAGGTTCCAAACACACTGCAGTTGCCCATCATCGCGGAACAACAGCGGAGATCGGTGTTCAATGCGACATTTTGGTCCAACCCAGTTGGTTCTCACTGCAACGGGACTTGAGTGCGTCTGTTGAGATGATGCAGGAACACAGAAGTCCCTCCACAGCAGGCTTGCCCAACTTGAAAGCCAACCGACTTCGGCTTGTGTTGACCAGTTGGCAGAACAACTAGAGAGGCCTACTTCTGCTATTCGGAACGGAGCAATGCCCCCGTGCACTCACGCTCCTTCTCCTGCATCTGGGGAGCTCGAACTCTTACCCAGAGGTGACTCTTTTTTGCCGACGACTATTCATGGGCTGCAAGAACTGAAAGCCCAACTTCAGGCTGAGCATCTGGCGGTGAAGCAACGACGTCGTGAGGAACGTTCTCGTCTCCGTGACCTAACCCAGAAAATACAACGTGATGAAGCAGACCAATCCCGTGTACATGACTCCGACGGTTAATTCGTGTCAGTCTCTGCTGAGAAACTCAAGAGTTCAGCTGCATGTTTTTGTGTTGATAGTGGTTCCAGATGCTTGGCTCAATGTTGCGAGGCATGGGAAGTAAGGGCAGCAGTCGAGTCCCTTGTGGAAAAAAGGGAAATAGACGCTGCTACTACAAACTGACGCCCTGGAAGAGGAGAGATAGCCAGCCAGCCACACATAAGGCTTAGGGCTTAAGAGTTTAGGGCCTTTCTGTAGTGTTGCGAGAGGAACCTTGCTCTTTTTGAGAGCCTCCTTCATGAGGTAGGAGAAGAGGTGCTCGTGGTCGCAAAAAAGGCAACTTGTCTATTCTACTACTGTTGTATAACCGTACTACTACTGTACTACTACCGCACAATTACTGTAAAACTACTATTGTAGTACTTTTTACTACTGAACTACTACTGTACTATTACTGTACTACTGTAGCACTACTGTACAACTACTGTACTTCTACTGGACCATTGCCGTAGTACTGTACTACTGCTGCAATACTAGCTACTATAATACTGTACGAATACTGAGAGCCCCGGCCCCCAAAACAACTTAGACCACAGCCCCGCCAAACAAGCAAGATGATCAGGAAAAAACCCGCCATGATTCCGTATTTCAGGTTGTTCGGGGGCCTAAGATATCCTAAGTGCAGCATCTGAAGCTTGCATCAACCCACGCCCCGCAGACAAATCCACGCAAAATAGTGGTGTGCAAAACCGCATGCCCCACAGCCCTCCCTTTTCGAGACCAACCCCTAAAATTCGACCCGTTATCCACCCCTCCGGCAGCCCTAAGACCCTAACCCTTAAAACCCCAATGTCATGTCATGCCTGATGCTACTTCTTCCCTGACAGGAGATCTCCGTGGCCTGGGAGTTTTGCTTTCTCTTTTACGTGTCTTTCACGTACTTTGCAGTGTTAAACGTAGCATCTTGTGCTGCAGCTGGCAAGGCTTCAATGCTTCATTTATTTTGAACTCGGGGTGTCGATCGTTTATGACCTTGGCAGATGAATGTGCGACATGGAAAGGTGTTATGCGCATGCAATGTCAGTGATCAGTGACGTCGTTTTGCCTCCTTACCCTTCAGCTCACGAGAAAGTTGCACACAGTTGCAAGCATCATGTGGTTGTTCCTTACTCTGCTGTGCGGTACCTGTCGTTTTCTGTGATTACAGGTGACCTTGAGGTGTGTGTGTGTGTACATATGTGTATATATATATGACAATTATAAATGTATATATACGTATAGATGTACATATGAATACATATGACACAACATAATTATGTCACTTTTCTGCAGTGAAAAGGCTTGTGAGCTTGTGCGACCACTGACGTGGTTCCTCTTGTTTGCGGCAGTGTTCTGCTGCACCACTTGGCGGCTGCCCCGCTCAAACACTGCAGCAGTTTGACGGAGTGGGTCCCGTCCTCAAGTTGTTGTTCTTGTGATTTTCAGGTGGTCGCGCTTGTTGTGGCTGTGCGCATGGGGCTCCTTGCTCACGCACGTTCTTCCGTATTTGGTGTGGGTAAGTCGGGATTCTTGGTTTGGTTGCTTTCATTCGTTGTCAAGTGCTGCCACAAGCTTCAGCTTCAGGGTTCGCCTTGTTCTCATGTTAGTTAGATGGTCGCCCTTCTTTTTCTACAAGGGGTTCACGGTGGTGTCCCGTCCATTCGGGGGCTGCCGGCACCGGAACACAGTTAGTTAGTTATATAGTGATTTTCAGGTCAATGCTTTCAAGTTATTGTTTTCTGCTGTTTCTGGTCACTTGTTGGTTGTCTCTTGCTTGGTTGCTTTGATTTTCTGGATGGATGCGTACATGAGCTGAACAGTGTTGCCTTAAGTTTCTTGCTGCAGGCCGCACTTCTGCACGCACTCATGTCATATGGTTGCCCCTCCTTTGTTATGAGAGGCTCACAGTGGTGTCCTTTCCATTTGGGGGGTTGTCGGCACCTGAACAAAGTTAGTTAGTTGGGAAAGTTCTTGTTCTTGTCTGATTATTAAGGTAACAGCCGTCTTCTGCCAAGCAGCTATTGACAGCGCTCAGCAAGATCAAGCCTCCGTGATCCAGTCCATCTTGGAGAACAAGGAGATTGAGAATTATCAGGCTTGGCACGGTTGATGTTGCACCGAAATTCTTGCAGGAAATGCACCTGGACAAGATCCGCAATCTTTTCAGCCAGTTCGGTGGGGAGGACTTCTGCAGTTCCTGCCGACTTTTGTAAGCGTGTAAGATTTGTATATTGGGTGTAGTGATGCGTCCCATCAGTCTGCAGTTTGCACTTCGCTCGTACGAGCGCGATTCGTGCCCGGAGGAGTGTAATACTATCACATTCGCCATGTACCTCGGCTCCAACGTGATGAGCATATGTCAGTGTATGTTTTGCAACGTGCCGACCGCTACGGGGAATTGTAAGCGTTGGGCGGCACTATGAACACATCTACTCTTTCCAGTGTTTAAAGGTGCCGGGCCGGCGTCCCGTTTTCCTTCATCGCTCTAATAGTTCGGCCTTAGTCCCGCTTAGTTTGCCATGCCGTGTAGTAGAGCGCGAAGAAGTGCAAGCTGCGACATGCCATTTGCTACAGTGATGAGGGGTCGTGAAAATCATGGAACTATCTTTTCAATAAAGTGCTGCTAGACTGTATGAGGAATCTTGATCGCCAGGATTCCACGGCTGCATCCCAAAGATGCGAAGCCATTGCCCAACTGAGGTTCGAGGCGACCATTCAGGAGCCCAAGGTCAGAGAGTACTTCGAGTCTCTCGGGCTCGATATTTGGGATGCATGGAGCTTCTTCAAGATGTTGGACTCTTGCCTTAATTGAAGCTTCTTGGCCATCGGATTCTGCAAGCTTCAGAGAGAGGCCCCGCATGGATGGAACTGTAAGTAAACAGTCACGCATTCTCATCGATATTGGAATTGTATACGAATTTGCACATGTACACACACACACATCTCTGTAGTAGGTGTATGGGTTAGCAAACAAGAGCACGCACAGATATGAACACTCATGCACGCAGGCAAGTAAGCAAGCCGGTATAGGCAAGCAAATGAGTACGTTCCCAGGTAAGCAAAATTTGCTTATGTATGTACGTTTGTATGGAAGTACTTCTGTACGGATGTATGTCACTTTGTGTGTATCCGTCTATGCACGCATGTATGTATGCACGTATGTATGCATGTATGTATAAGTAACGTATCAGGCATGTATGTATGTATGTATGTATGTATGTATGTATGTATGTATGTACGCACATGTACGTGTGTGTGTGTGTGTGCGCGGAACTGTTTCGTTGTTGCTTGTATGTATGTACGTTTGTATGCATGTATATATATATATATATGTGTGTGTGTGTATGTACTTATGTATGTATGCATGTATGCAGGTTTGATGGTTCGTTATTGCTTGTACCTGTGTATCAACGCACGCATGTCGTAGATATGTGTAGATGTTGACCTATATGTAAAAGTATATGTACATACCTAGGTAAATATAGGTTTGTATAGGTAATTATGCATAGAAGATGTACGTATACATATATATATATACAGGTGTTAGTATGTGTATACGTACGCTTATGTATATCGTATGTGTGTATGTATGTATGTATGTATGTATGTATGTATGTATGTATGTATGTATGTATGTATGTACATGCGGGGGTACTACCCATGATGTACGTATTTACGTCTGTATGCATATATGAATGCATTCATGTATGTATGTATGTATGCACTGTATGCACGCACGCATGCACGCATGTAAGCCAGCGTATATATATATATATATATATACATATACATATATATATATATGCATATATATATATATACGTGTATATACTTTAGTCATGTATCTGAAGTTTCTATACCTGAATAGATGTGTATATATATATATGGCATGATTGAATGAAACGAGTGGTGTGGAATGGATGAATGAGAGAGTTAACGAAATGAATGAAATGCACGACGAGTGAGTGAATGAATGAATGCAAGAATGAAAGAACACATGAATGTACGAATGAAATGAATGAGTGAATGATTGAACGAAATGAGATGAATGAATGAATGAATGAATGAATGAATGAAGGAATGAGTGAGTCAATGAATGCATGAATGAATGACATGAAATGAAATGAAATGAAATGAAATGAAATGAAATGACATGACATGACATGAAATGAAATGAAATGAAATGAAATGAAATGAAATGAAATGAAATGAAATGAAATGAAATGAAATGAAATAAGAGGAGTCGAGCAAATGAATGAAAGAAAGAAAGGAATTACATGAATCGGTGGATGGTATGGTTGGAACGAATGCATCGACGAATGAATGAATGTTTGGATGGATATGGAACGCACGCATGTCTGTAGGTATATGTAGGTGTGCATGTACACTCGAGTCCGGAGTCTGGAGTTTGGGCCACACCTTTAACCCAGGACTTGGACAATGGTGGTGAGGTCGAGATCGACGAATTTTTGATGGGGTGCTTACGCTTACGAGGCAATGCACGCGCCGTCGATGCACCTGGGCAGAGGAGTTCGTTCTGCCAGTTTTTGGCGAAAGCCGTCATCTTGTCCTCATCTTCCAGGCTCCAGATATGGATTTGTGATAGCGTTCCTGCTAATGGATGTGGCGGCATGACCCTCATACCGTGCCATCCGCAGGTTTGAGCATAATTTGGATGTAGCGTGAAGGCTGCTTTGTGTGGCTTATCCAGGAACTGTGATGGATGCTCGTAAGTCGGGGTGAGGCCCACCCGCACTAAGGCAGACACCATTGCAGTTTCCGCGTTGGGTATCGTGGTTCTGTGTTGCAAGGTCGGCAAGCTCATTCACGACCAGAACTGGCTCATCAAGAATTTCGGCAAGTTCCAGGGAATCTCGGCATACTTTCTAGAAAGCTATTGTTTATACGAGCCGGTGCGCCAGGCAGAAAAAAAGCAGGCCCCACACAGTGCACAATTTCTCGAAGCCCTTTCCGACACAGCCTAAACCCATCAACCGAAGCCCTATACATCTCAAAAGCCTAAGCCAAGGGCATGTGGAAGTTCAGCTCTCCTCTCTGTCTCTTGGGCCCAGCAGGTGTTGTTTGATATTGTGGGATGTTTGGAATTGGGATTTTGTTTGGAGGGTTTCGGGGATAGGCTGTGTTTACATCCGGTGTGTTATTTGCACGCGTCTTGAATGTGTTTAAGAATATAGTAGTTGTTCTGTCTGTGTACTTTCTGAAGGAGTCCAAGCAGTAGGTTTTGGCAGATCTACTCGCGGACTCAGATTTACAGTCCAGCGTGTGGAGCTTGCGGTCTTGTTCTTGTTGCTGCTGTTGCTGCTGCTAGCACTACCACGACGACTACGACTGGGACTGCGACTACGACACGACGACCACAGCCACACCACTTCTTTGAAAAGCTGTTGAAGCTCTCAGGGTTGCGGCCTGCAACAGACAACGCTGAACTGCCAGAGCAACAGCGACGGCCAACGACAGCCAGCGCAACTCCATGCCGGCAAAGGCACTGCCTGATCTTCTTCACATATGCGGAACATACCTCCACCTTAAGATTGACAACCCTCTGCTTTACATATGCGAACCATACCTGTCTTATAGGTTTGACAACCCATATCCACTTGCTGTCCTCACCAAGACAGTCCGCAAAGTTCTCATTGGAATCTCTGCCGCTGCTGCCAACATCTATATATAAACAGGTGTTTTCGGCGGTCAGGCTTGCGCCAGAAGCTGCAACACAAACTCTGCGAGACAACCATTACTCGGAGCACTAGCTATAATATATTGCTGACAATGCTACTGCGGTTTTGAATCCCCTCCACACCACGGGCCCCACCCCATCCCCCACCAACGCTACCGCTACTACTACTTCTACTACTATAGACTATACTGCTACTACTACTATCACCTACTACTTCCTACCTACCTCCTACTACCTCCCCCACCCCCTCCTTCCTATTTCTACTACTACAGCTACCACTACCACT